AATCGTATCATCTCAGTTTTTGCTTCAGGTGATAATGACTTCCCTATGCGCAAGACTTGATTGGGGTCTTCCGGGTTGACAGGGAAAGTTTCCAGTTCTTCCATGGGGGTCGCATTTGGTTCATAATTGATTATTCGGGGGTCTAACTCATCAAGAGGGTGTCCTTGTTCAGGGGTCTCTTCCATGTCGACGTCGCCCTCTTGTTCAGAGGTATGTCCTTGTTCAGGGGCGTCGAGCATTTTCACGTCCGTACCGTCTACCCCCAGAAATTCCATGAAATGCTGGGCGACTAGGGGGGCTGAACCTATTTCCACAGGCAGGGTGATCCGCCCTCGTGGGATGATGCTGTCCCCAGTGAATCCGAACAGTGGGTCGGTCATGGGGAGCAACCCATGTTCAATTTGCATTTTGTCAAAAGTGGAGCTGAACAATATGTTCACGAAACTGCTATTGTCAACGAGCATGCATTTCAATTCGTTTCTAGGTACTACGACTCTTACAACTAAAGCATCGCAATGGGGGTGGTGAACTCCCTCTGAGTCTTCTTGGGAGAAGGTGATTGGGGCCATCTTATTTGCTGATTTCGATTCGTTAACAATGTAAGTGATCATTGGGGGATCCTTTGCTTCTCTTGTGTTCCTTAGCTTCTCTTGTATAATTTCTCTGGGCATTCCTGGTGTTGCCACCGACGTGGGGTCCCCCAATGATGGTATTGATTTCCCTAATGACCTGGCCTCCTGAAAATTGGGCTTGGTTCCCCTGCCTGGATTGGCCTCGGTTCCTCGATTCTCTTCTACGAGGAGATTGTTCCTGGTGACCTCTCCCTCCCCTCCTCGGGGAGGTGGATCTGCGAGGGTGTTCGTTTCTGCTAGAAGTGTGAGGGTTGCTTCGATCAGGGCGCCGATTGGCATCACGACACTCGCTGGTGTCATGTCCGTATAGTTGATGGAATGTACAAAACATTGCTCCTGCCAAGGGTGTGTTTGGCCTCTTTTTCTTCTTCTTATTGCTATCAGTTCTTCCAGATGGTCCCGCCTCAGCAGGGGCATTATCATATGCCAACGTCGGCACTGTATTCAATGTGGTAGAAGCTAGGGCCTGTCCGGATGTGGGAGTTATAGTATGCCCTGCTTGGGTCCATTGCTGAGTAACAAGGTGTGCTGCGGGGCCTCGACCTACCTGCCTCTGTGGAAGAGGGAGTCCCTGCGCGGCACGATTGCGATGATCAATCATTTTTTCACTAACAATTTCCACTCTCATCATTTCCACCAGCTCGTCGTATGTGGAGGGATTCTTGCTGCGCACGTCCGTCCAAAACAAAGTGTTCATGTTGAGCCTACCTTTCAGGGTTGAAAGGGCTTCCCTGTCAGTGACCTGTTCGCAGTAAGTAATTTTGTCTGTAAACCTGGCGAGATAGCTTTTTAGCATCTCTCCAGGGCCCTGCCTCATGTCTTGCAGGCGTTGAATTGGCGTCTCTCCTTCCCTACGTGAGAGGTACTGGTTCAAAAATATTTTCTTCAAGTCTGGTCAACTTCTGATGCTTAGGGGAGGAAGCCTGCTGTACCATACCTCGGCGGCTCCGCCTAGTGTTAAATGGAAGGCTCTGCATTTTAGAGCAGGCGAGGCTCCCCTAAGGATCATTTGTGTCATATACTTTGTGAGGTGCTTCTCCGGATCCCCCTTTCCCTCATACTTGGAGATCTTAGGGGGCATGAAGTTAGCTGGCATTGGGAAGTTTCGAATCTCCCTTGAGAAAGGGAGGTTATCGTCATCGTCGTCAATTTCATAAGATCGACAGAGCCGCTTTGACACTTCATCATCTTGGATGTCCTGGGGTGGTGGAGGTGCTTCTCCTCGACTCCCCAATTGACTAGGTTTCTCCTCTCCCTCCTATTTCTAGGAGGAGGAGGGAGAACATGCTCTTGTTCGCGATCCGGACGAACTGATCCTCTTGCTGGGGAGACCCTATTGCTAGGATCCTCCCCTATCCGGTCGAAGACGCTTACCGACCTATGGTCATCGTGTTCTTGAGGAAAGTTGTCCCCCAACGGTGATTCTGATGGATGACTCCCTTGCACATAAGATGTTGCTTCGACGTTCATCTCTCTTTCGAGGGGGCATTCTGTGTGCCGGCTCATGTGGCCCCGAGAGTGAGATAAAGGGATTTCCTGCACCGGATAAGATCCTTGGGGTCTTTGATAGCTCTGGTGTCCCTGGGCTTGCATGAGGAGTTCCGAGAAGCTTTGGAAGGGTCGTTTTCAGGTCGGAATAAATGGTGCTGCGGAGGGTCCACTTGATCTCGGCCTCGGAGGTATGACACTTCGGTATCAAGACGTAAATAATCGGGGCATAACAATATTAATTGCTGGAGCTATCTCAAATGCCCTGAAATCTGTCGACCTCTATTTGGAGCAAAATAATCTTAAAATGTGTGTTGAGGTAGAGTATTAATATTTTAGGTTTAATTATTCTAGTTCTTAGACTGAAAATTCGAAACTTCTAATTTCATAAATCATGTGGATCGTCAACATTCTAATATCTTGATTTAGCCTGCCTAAATATAAATGTTGTTTAATCGCTCCTAATTAACTCCAAGTATATAACTTTGGGGAAAGTTCTCTCTCTTTGCACATATGCCATTTTTTATTGTCACGTGTGATCCAATACTGCGAATGTGCAATTGCATCAGTGTGACTGGATACGCTTTGTGTATTTGTTACTCAATTTATTAAATTATTTTCTCTTCACAATTATTGAAACATTGGCTTCGGTACACAGTCAAACTGTTAATTCTTTTGACCAATATATTATGTTCATATGATAAGTTATTACTTAGTGAGTATGGCTGTTCTCCCGCCTCGACGACGCTGGTGATGCGGTCTCTGATGAGTAACATTGTTATGGAGTACCTCTTCTTTAGAGGCCTCTCTCATGGGATTGTCGTCTTCATGGTTGTAGCTCATCCTACCTCTTTTTTTTTCAAGGGTAGTAAGAACTTGGATTGTAACTCGATTTTGTTCTTTTTCAAGAATGCCCCCTTTTCAAGGTTAGTCGTCGATTTTCCGGTATCTTCTTCGATGGAGAACACAAAACCTCAAATGGGGATTGATCCCCACAGACGGCGCCAATCTGTTGACCTCGGAAATTGGTCCCTCCACGTGGCCAACTGAAAGCTACTCCACGTATTCTTCCCTGCGCAATCAACAAATAGTCAGGCGCACACGGCCGGAACCAACGGAGGTGGTGGCGGCCGTATACACTCCGACGATCAAGTCAGGTTTGGGTGGTCGAAACAGTACCCAGGGGCTATACAAATCAATCAATAAAGGGGGAGGAGAATATATAAACTTGTTATGGAGTGCTGTGTATTAAGAGTTTCATTACCTTTGCCTCTTACTAAACCTTGGGTATTTATAGGTGGTATGAACCGTTGGATATGGAACGCGTGTATACATCTGATGGTATGAAGCGTCTGCTCATATGCGTCAATCAGCCGCATTTGTAGAGTGGGCGGACAGTTTGTTTCCTCTGAGTTGAATTGACATAAAGTTGATAAGTCACATCAACTAACCTCATGGAGACGTCAATTCAATTTAATCTTTAT